GTGCTGTGAGGCTGTTAGCTGTGACCGGAGGGGTACGAGGCCCCATGGAGGAGGATGTGATGCCTGTTGCACTAACGCCAATGTTCTGTCTCCCCTATCGTCCCTGCCACACACTCCCCCCATGCAGCTCTCTGTCCTCGTGCTGCTGTGGCCACCCCAGGCCCTGTGGGTCTCGGGTGGGCTCAGCCCTATCTGCCATGTGTCCCTGCAGGAGGATCGAGGACTGCCTGCCCCCACTGGAGGACTCCCCGTCCAAGAGGTTCTCCCCCTCCAAGCGAAAGCAGTACTATATCAACAAGGCCATCCGCAACTCGGACCTCATCCCCAGGGCCAAGGGGCGCAAGAGCCTGCAGAGGCTGGAGAACAGTAAGGATCTGGGGCAGGCTCCAAGCACTGACTCTTCCCCAGCTGGGTCTCTTCCCCCAGGACGGGTGGCCTCTGCCCCTAAATCCTCTGCTGCGTGGCATGTGGAGGGGTGCTGGGGTGCCGGGCCTCTCTTAGGGCACTGCTTCCCCTCTCAGGGGCTTTGCTCTTTCCTTCTAGCTCGCTACTTGATGACGCTTCTGGAGCGAGACGAGTGCGGGAGCGATGAGGGAGAGCTCGCCCACTCTGCCAGCCCGAGCATCTTCACAGAGGCCTGTAACAACGAGACCTATGTGGAGGTAGGCACAGCCGCCTGCCTGCTCGAGGCTGTCTGGGGAGGCCCTGGCACAGCACCTGCGGTTCTGGCAGTACGTGGTGTCTGTACCTTGTTCCTCCAACCTGAGGAGCCATCTGCCTCCCTGGCTGGAGCTGCTGTGCCCTAGCTCCTGACCGGTGTCGGAGTCAGGGCTGGCATCTGTGTGCCCGGTGCCTGGCTGCTGCTGCGTGTGCCGCGGGAGATCAGGTCCCCATGCCCCTGGTCCTGCAGTCTGGGGGGCAGGGGGTCTCTGGGCAGATCCTCTTGTGGAGGATCCGCACAAACATGCGGTGCAAGGGCTGGGTCCTGCTCAGAGCCTGGCCAGGCCGGCTTAATGGAGGCTGCTGCTGCCCCCGGCAGAGCCCGGAGCGCTGCCGAGTGCCCCAACGTACAGCACTGTACCTGCAGAGCGACTAACACTGGGTGAGCTGCAGCACTTCCTCCGAAACAAGCCCCTTGCCAAACCCATCTGTTGCTTCACACTGCCCAGCCGGTGTTGCGATACCGGCTCTGTAACTGGGCGTTTTGAAACTTGGCTTCTCTCCTGTTTGATGCTCAGGGCTTTGGCTGTGGAGCGACCTGCGTGGTCTGTGTGCATGCTTTTGGCTTTGCAGAGCTCTTTTCTCACTCACTTAAGCCAGGCTTAGGAATTGTGATGTAGACCTGGGTTTGAAGCTGGATTGCATGGATGGGCTGTTGTGTCAGCACTTGAACTGCCAGTAACTGTCAGAAAAACCCCTGTGTATGTTGGCTTCGATTGTTAAATCTGCATCTCCTCCCAAAGCAGTTGTGACAAGCTGTTATGGGCAGTCAGGAGCAGGAGAGGGGGAGAAAGGTCATTGTCATTGCTGCGGCTCGTGTCTGCCGTGGTTTGTCTCCGAGCTGTCTGGGTGCTGCGGAGCTCTGCCCAGCCCTGTTCGTTCCCCTCTCTGAGCTGCTGTTCCTGCTCTGCCAGGGCCGTCCCTGGGGACGGCTGGGTGAGCAGGAGGCTCATGGGGTGCTGGGTGGGGCTCTGAAGGTGGCCGTGCACTGCTGGGTGCTCCCTGGAGACCTCTGCAGTGGGGCCCGGTGGCTTGTGTTGTCAGATCTGGAATGACTTCATGAACCGGTCAGGAGAAGAGCAAGAGCGAGTCCTGCTCTACCTGGAGGAGGAGGCCAGGAAGAAACACAAGAGGAAGCTGCCCGTCAAAAACGAGGACAAATGGAAAGGTGCTGGGAAGGGATGCTGGGTGGGGAGAGCCTCTCCCTTTCCTCCTTTGCATGCATTTGGGA